TATCCAGAAAAGTACCAGGCTCACGGCAAATGCTTCTTTGTTGAATGACTGAATGAGTGAACTCCTTCAAGATCTGACACACATACCATGTGGAGAGCTGGATTTGAACCCTGCTGGTGTACTGGCAAAGCTCGTAGGCCTGATGATCACATCAGTAGTCCTAAAGTGAGGTCTGTAGATCCCTGCTTGCCTGAGAGTTTGTAGAGATCATTCTAAAATTTGGTGATTTTGTGTATATATTTCAGTGATAGCCTTAAAAAGTTACTGTTAGTCTATCTTGGATCACTTGGGTTCATTGATCCCATAAACAGGGACCACACCAGATGTCCATGGTCTGTTTGGATTCATGGTCCAAGTCTGTTTGTATTCATTGTCCTCTTGGCATTAAATGGTGCCACTGTAATTATCTAAGGCTAATGAGAAAGGAACATGGGCAGACTTGACTCCTAAGTGACAGCTGAGAAAGCCACATGGCATCACAGAATGCTGTACAAACAAGACGGGGTAGGGTCACTGGAAAAATAAAGCTGGTTACTGGGGAGGTCATGGCTGTAGTGCCTGGGGACAGTGCTAATCCAAACACCATCTCTCACATTCTTGCTATTATTCTGAATTGTTTTGCTTCTTAAATTCAGTTTGTTTTATAGTTGCATAGGAGTTTAGATATACATTTATGCTTATCTAATTTGGGGCAACTTTCAATTTCAATCAGCTGCTAAATTTTTTTTTTCTTTCTGTCTAAAATATTCCCAGACATTACTCCAGTGCAGGAAAAATTGTGCTATGCTATAAAACATGGTATGAAATGTTAGAGTTGGGCATGTTGGTGCATGCCTATAAACCCAGCACTAGGGTGGCTGAGGCAGGAGGATCACCATGAGTTCAAGGCCAGTCTGGACTACTCAGTGACTACATAGAAAGACCCTTCCTCAAGACAACAACAGTGACAACAGCAACAGCAACAAAGAATGGTAGTAGCAGGTACTCTCAACTTAGAGATGAGAAAGCTGAGTCAAAAAACCATAATTTCTCTCTATAACTGAAAATAGTTATTGTTTATTGAGCTCCTATTAGTCATAACTCTGAGTTCTTTATGTGTTTGGTCTCAAATCATCCTAACAATTTTGCAATGTGAATATCATTTCCCCATTTCATAGATGAGGACGCCAAGGTGTATAATGTGTCTGGCACACAGCTAGAAAATAGAGCACAAATGTTCAAGCCTGTCTGTCTGACTTTGTCTTCCCCGATCCTCAAAATAATTCTTAAGACTGTAGAAAGATGGCAAAAACACTTTTTGATGTGAATTCCATTTTTCAGTGTGCAACGGGCTTCGTAAAAATGAACAGAGGTTTGTGGATCTTAAAAAGTATCCTCTACTTTGTGAGTTCTCATTCGTGGGCAACACAGTTATTGCTGTCATCTCTGGTGCGTGGTGTGCTATAGAGACTGACAGAAACATTTGCAGCTTGACGCGGATACTGTCTAAAAGTTTGCTCCTCTCTGTCCTGATCCGTGGACCATTTGTTACTAACGTGAGGAGTCACTGGGGTGAAGCTGAGAGCTCAGCTCTGATGATTTTACATTTTGAGCATCTCTGAATGTAGCTTCTCTGTGTGGACAAAATGTTACCTCTGCTGAGTCTCCTGGTGTCACCAGGCTACAGCTCAGATGAAGGGGACTCAGGAGCTCAACATGGGGTTGTAAAGAGCTGCGGCCCTCTGGCTACTATGGCTTCGTGTGGAGATTTACTAAACAATGGCAGCTCATCCAAGCTGGTAGGTGTGTTAGAGGTCAACCTCAAAGACAGAAACAGTGAACAACACAATCCCTTTGGCATAGTATGCTCAGAATCCACAAAGAAAACTCACACATGCCAGCTCATGTACACTTCACATCAGGGGTGTAATTCTCAACTTAGAGATGAGAAAGCTGAGTCTCAAAAAAAGGTTAAATGCCTTGTAAAAAAGAAAATTCACGCCAATGGTAGCACCACTGGTTGACATACAATGAGCACTCCATTATTTATTTATGATGAACACAATATTTCAAGTTGCTTGGGGTAAGAACAAAGAGAAGGGCATCACCGTGACCAGTAATGATCCCTCCACAGCCAGCCAAAGGAATATGAGGATTGATCTCCATAGGACTGATACTGTCTGAATTTTTCTTGTTCAATATCAACCTTTAGAGTAGGAGAGGTAACCTCTGTCCTGAGAGTGGAATCCCAAGAGATATTGCCCCCTCTGATTTTCCACAGTAAAATTGCTATGAATCAGAAGAGTAGGCCTGGTGGTAGATTTGCACACAGGCAGCACACACATAGCTGGGCACACAGTATACCTGCACAGCACTATGTGTCAATTTGACCAGAAACCTCAAAAAAATAAATTAGTTGCTTAGGATCTTTTGTTCTGTGGTAGGTTGTTTTTCCCTTTGCAATCAACTTTTCTTCCACATCATGTTAGACTTTTTTTTTTTCTTTAAAAACCTTTTCTGAGTTGACTTGGAAAATGAGATTTTCAGAGCAATTGGAACTCCTCTTTCTCAGATGGAGTTGACCCTCCTTCTCTCCCTCACTGGGAATTTTCCCTGAGACAGGTTTTCGAAAAAGCACTCAGAGTCTTTTCAACACTCTGTGACTGCTCACAAGGCACAATTGTTTGTCTTCATCTCCATTGAGCCGGGAACAAAATCAAGGCGACAGAGGCTTTAAAATTCAGACAGGAAGTTCTGCCCTTTTGACCCAGCAAACCCAAAGGAAGGTGAGGAGGAAGACGATAAAGAAAAATACCAGGAGGAGGTTTGATATATGTGCCTCTCATGTACCTTCCATATTTTCCCAAGGGATTTTTTCAAGGCGGGAGCAGCCTTTTTAAAGGTGATTGGTGAATGTCAAGTGAGCCATGAGGCCGTTATCCACTTCCAGGCACGCTTCTTTTCATGTAATCCCTTTCGCACAAGCATAACTAAGGCAAGTCCTTCAAAGAGAGTGGTAGGGAGGAAATGCTGGACAGTCCCACCCTACTGACAGAAATGTACTTTGCACCCTCGAATCTTCCATTTCCCATGTCCTTCCCCTCCATGTTTTCACATCTTTTTTCCCCCCTTTCTTCCCATGTGGTTACTCTTACCCTTGTTTATTTTGGTCTTGCTTTCACCTGTTCCCTCTTGCACTTCTTCTTCCGTCCTTCCTCTTTCTGCTGTGCATCCCCCAAGCAATTTCTCTTTGCTTAAATTGTCTCTGTCCTGCTTCTCTCATTTCTATTATTGGTTCTCAGTGGGATTTTAAGAAACTGTGCAGTGTTAGAGGCTGCTTTGCGAGCTGTGTTTAGTAGGTCCAGGGCTACACAGCTAGGTATGTGGTCCACAGATGCCTGGGAGTAAACTAAGCTACAGCTGCATCCACCACACCTCTGTCCAGTTTACCGCACTCCCACCTTGGCTTCTTTGGTCCTCCTTCTCTTCATCCACCTGATCACCACCAAACTGCAGCGGCAAGCAGAAACCCTGAAAGGACACCCAGGATTTGGAAGCAGATTTATTTTACATCCACGAGCACTGATTGGGACTGTTCCCAAAATATCAGGCCCCAAAGGCCCAGGGAGAGAGGTTTTTATGGAGTTGAAAGGGGAGGTACAGAGGCAGAGTACTTGGCTGTCTTTTGTTGGTTCTTACCATATACGTCATAGTGACCAGCTGTGTATCACAGCGACCAGCTGTTTCTAAGAGACGGAAGAAACAGGAACTTGTAACAGGAACTGTTACCTGGGCAACTAACAGAATAGCGGGGGGGGGGGGATATTTTCTGCTACAAAACTAGCTCCCTCCCTCTTCTCATTCCCCCAAGACCTATTAATATCACTGTGATGTCTTCTAAATGTATTTCTTCCCTTCCATTCCCCACACCCAACCCAAACCTTTATCATCTCTTACCTGAGACTGTTTTATACACTCTAATGCTGCTCTGGTACCATCAGTTCCTTCTCCTTCCCATACAGTTTGACTCCTTGAAACACTGGTCTGATCGCCTCACTTCCTTTGCTCCAAAGTCTTCAAAGGCTCCCATTTGCTAAGGGTAAATCTATACCCTACAGCAAGACATTCAGGACCCTTCACCATTTGACTCAAACCTACTCTTTCCACCCCATCACCCAGCTTGCACTGAACTGAAAAATGATTTGTCTTCCATGATTTACTTCCATGAGTAAAGTAGCTGGAATTCACTGCCAAGGCCCCCAAATGAAAATATTCATATTCTTGACCCAAGCTGTGTCTGAGTTTTCAATCTGAGTCCTAGACAGGTACCAAATACTGTGTAATTACATGACTACTGGCAGTCTTTTGGGGTCCCCTCACTTCATCTGGCCCACTTTTCCTCATTAATACCACGAGGCTTAGAGGGTTTCAGAATCAGCCTTTAGCATTCAAAGATGATGACTAAGACATCCAGACGCCCCAAGCCAGGTGCCATGGGCTACGGTACCTTGCTGTGTTACCGCAGTACGAACTCTAGCCTCTCAGTTGTGTCTGTCTGGAGCCATCGTGTCAGCCAGCGATGACATCAGACCCTGGGAGCACTGACTCATACTGCCCAGACCCAGGACGAGTCAGGTTTGTACCGGAAAGCTCTCTTATTATTAAGCAGTGGCAAGAAAACTTCCATCTGCTCTCTAAAACACCTTCTCCCTAGAATGGTCTGTGCATGTTAATATACCCTCTAGATTTCTTTTCTTGGTAAATCAAATTAATTATCAAGATATTTTCTGGACAAATGGAATTAGAACAAGAAAGGCACCAGGCGTGGTGGACACACTTGTAATCACAGCACTCTGGAGGCTGACAGGAGGACTGCCGTCAGTTCAAGGCCAGCCTAAACTATACGGCAAGATACTGTCTCAAATAGAAAGCCAAAGAAAGAAGCAAGAAGAACTCACAATCCAGCAGACATTGTTTCCAGTCTATGACAGAGCCTGATGAATTCTGTTTCATTCTATGAGTCTGTCAGGAGGATGGCAAGCAACAGAAACTGACTAGATGCATGGACCACTCCATCTGAAGCAGCCTCCCCAGCTGGTCTCCATCTCACCACCCTGCTTGCTCTTTTCACAGCACTTGTGGAGTCCGTAAGTACCTTGTTTACTTCTGGGTCATCAGTCTTCCTTGTTGGACTGCATATTCCATGCTTGGGACCAGAGAGACTGTCATCCTTGTTTGTTGCTCTGTCTCCAGAACTTAGGGCAGTGCCCAGTTCACAGGGTAGTCACCAAAATATTTACACTCTGGGAGCAACTGAGATGGAGGGTCCATAGCAGGTGCTTCTAACCCTTCCTTTTAGGCATCTCCATGCTATAACTTAACTCTGGCTGCATTCGTCTCTCTGTGTTTCTGCTCCAGGTTTATGTGCCTGGAAGGAGAGAGAGGCATGGACCCAAAAGAGGATCACATGTCAGGACTCTGGAATCTCGAGATGGGCTGTGAAGCAGAGCATCACAGGGAGCGAAGGAGTGTAGCTCCTCAGATGGCGCCATGGCAGACACATCATGCATCCCACATTAGGATCACTGGTACCTGCTAGTTGGATCCAGAAATTCTGTGCTCCGGAGAAATCTCCATTAAAACTTGCCCCCTGGTCTTCCATTGTCTCCAAGCCTTCCATCTTGGTGGATTTATTCCTTAGAAGTCTCACCTGTTCAAAGGCAACAGATATGCTGAAGCCTCCAGATATGATCTATGCACTTCCTGCCCAGCATATCCTAGGATATCTTTCTATACATTTGTTTCTCATTTTTCAGCTCATGAATAAAACATATGTCTACTTTACATGGGAAGAATGTATGTTTCCACTTAACCCAAATCCCTTGTTTTCTGTAAACCTACATTTGGATTACTTTGTTGTGGCTGACACTCTTTGTTGTCTACCCAACAGCCACTCAGAGCTGCAGTTCACTTTGCCTGGGGCCTGAATCATCATGAGCATCTTACTTCTTTGCTTATGATTGAACTAGAGGACACATGCATGAAAAATAATGCAAAGTCTACTGAGGGCTTCTGGAAGGATTCTTCCTCTCTGATGAGAGAGTTATATGTAGAGAAAGGGTTTTGTACTTTTGCCTCCTTTTTTCTTTTCCAGTAGGGTTGCCAACATGCAAGGATATGGTATTTGGAGCTGTGGCAACCATTTTGTAAATATGTGGTGAGAAATAAAAGGACAAAAGCAAACTTGAAGAAACGGTCAGGTGGAAGAATATAAAGATCTGGGTCCTAGATCACATTTGGAAGCATGAAAATCAACTCTGGATTTCTCAAGTATATGAGAGATGTCTATATGGCTTGGTCACATTTTGTTACATGTATTTTTCTGATAGTCCTGTGAAGAACAAGTCCTTCTTCACTGTAGTTCTTAGTCCTTGACTTTAGCACACTTGAGGTGCTCCTAGTCCTGGGTAGTAAGTGCTTAATGTGAGATTAGTCTGAGGAAGGCAGATTTACTGTGCTCCTTTACAAATACTCTTCACTACTGAAATCTACTTCTTAGGAATTGAGCATCATGAATATGTGAAGGAATACTAACTAGTCACATACATAGTTCATAGATATTATTAGTATGTTACTTAACTTTTAAAAAGTTCACACTGTAATGTAGTGAGCCCCTGAGCTAGTGTGATTTTAGGGTTTTTTGTTTTGTTTTGTTTTGTTTTTAGGTTTTCTTTCTTTGGTTGTTTTTGTGTGTGTGTGTTTGTTTTTTACACTATTGAGGATTGAACCCAGGGCCCTTTGCACTGAGATGCATCTCCAGCCCATGTTTTTCTTTTCTTTCTTTATTTTGTTTTGAGACAAGGGTCTTGCTAAGTTGTTAAATTGCCCAGTTTGGGTTTAAACTTGTGATCCTCCTGTCTCAGCCTCCACAGTGCTGGAATTATAGGCATAAGCCACCATGTTCAGCTTGATTTTAGTATTTCTATACAGAAGAGAGTTAGGAGTGGCGTTTAAGAGGGACATGGCAATGAGGTATTGAAGCCACGTTCTCACTGTACTTTAAAGATTGGGAAGCAAGCAACTGTCCCCAAGAAGGAGTGGGAGAAGAACAAAGGCACCCCACCCCCACCTGTTATCGTCTTTGCTTTTTGTCCTAAAAACAAGCTGCCTGTGCCTTTTCACAGCCCTCTGAGAAGTCAAGGCTTCAAACCTGAAGGTTCTGTAGCACGGGAACCCACCCGAGGTTCCAGGGTGGGGCCTGATGGGACTACGGGGCCTCACCTGCGCCATCTAAGTGACGTTACCTTGCTGCATGATCACTAATGCTTAACATAAAGAGGCTGAGGCTCAGAGGGTTTCAGTGGCTGCACAAAACACACAGCTAAGCAGCAGAGCCAACTCTATGGCCTTGGCCTCCCGATCATCACCTTTCCTCTTCCATCAGGTTGGTCCCTTTTTAGAGACGGGCCCTTTGGGACCAAGCACAGTGTGGCCAAGAAGCACAGTTCCTCCACCAGAAGGAGCCTTTTTCTACCAGAGAGGAGGAGCAGAAAACTGGAGGGTTGGGGGTGTCGTCTGATCTCAGTGGATCTGCAAGGCGGTACCCATTGTGTCCCCAGATCTATGTTCTGACCATGTGTTTACCCAGAAGGCTGCCTGCCTGCGGCCCCGTATTTGCCCGTGTGACCCTGGGCTTAACTGGACCAACCCCATCAGGAAGAACTTTCAACACTGGCATGGCAAGGAGAAGAGGTAGACACATCCTTCACATCTCCCTGTGTACATGGTTTGGAGGAGAACACTTCTAGTTCCTCAGTATGCATAGGATCTCAAAAACAGGGTCCCGGATCCCAGTGAAAGGGAAGTGAGTCTTCAGTCACGGGCTGCCGGCTCCAGTCAGTAGAGGGTGTCAAGTCAAAGGCAGCCTTGGGTTTTCCAAGCCCCAAGGGAAACCAAGCTCCAGGAGAGACATGGAAAGTTAGAACGGGGCCAGAATAGAGCCAAGGGGACAGAAAGCCAGTGGAAAAACTTGTGTTGACAGACTGACGGACTGAAAAGTTTTATACATAAACGTGAAGGGAAGGAAATTCTGACTTCTCCACTCAGGACCGGGCTAGTGATGTAATCAGTGCAAATGAGACACAGTGGTCCAGCAAGCATGCCAAGAATGCAAGCTGGAGAGGCCTGGGTTATTCCGGGTTGCCATGGTTCTTAGCCAAAAGTAATAGAGCCAGGCAGGGAAGGGAAGCAGCCTTATACCTCAAGGATGTCAATGCATACCTTGAAAGCCAGGACAAAGGAGTCTTGTTCATTCCCTGACCATGTTGGCCAATGTGTAAAATTAGCTGTGAAGTGTAGCATTTAAAAGCACAAGAACTGGAGCCAGACAGATTGGAGTTCAAATCCCAGGCCCACCATTTACTTGCTCTGTGATGCTGAGCGAGTGACTTAACCTCTCTAAACCTCGGTTTTCATCTCTAGGCGAATCGGAGCATCTAATTGGTAAAGTGGTTGTAAGAATTAAATGACAGACGCTCTAAAAGGTGCTTAACCTAATGCCTGACATAGTAATAGCTCAATCTTTACCTATTCTTTACAATAAAGTAAATATTGGTAAAAGCAAAGAGAGAATAAACAAAGTAGGTTAGTAAGCACACTTCATGTGCATGATAAAAATGCATTGAATGAAGGAAGAGGAAAAAAGTAAAGGGTAGGGGGCGGCGGCTGAACCTTTGGTCAGAGGGAGGAAGGCGGACGAAGCCTTCTGAACACTTTTACCAGTTTACATTAGTTTGGAGCCAGGTGAGGAAGTCTGAGCCCTTAAATAACCACCTGGAAAATAAAAGATGCTTTATGGGACACAGATTTTCAAACACGTGCTCATCCATGAGGCAATTTCTTTGTTTTAAAAAACAACAGCTGTAATATCTGAGAATATAATTCCAGGAAGGGCTGTGCCACTAACTGTGTGACGTAAGGCAAGTTATTAAAGTCCATCATGCCTTTCCTCCGTCAATAGCAAAGTGAGTGACAGTGGTCATACCAACTTGATACAGTTAAATGTTTTCGTAATTGAATGTATGTCAATTAGTATGTACAGAGCTGTTAGAAAACAGGCAGGCACAGAGTATTAACTCCATTTATACATTACCACCAGGTAACCCCTATGTGTTGTGCAAACCTTACCAACCTACCCGGTACCTTCCTACCTAGTAAGTCAGCCTGCTTATTGTGTGCATATTCTTCTGCTCATGCACGTACAGCAGCCCCTTTATCCACTGGGAATATACGCCACAACGCTCCATGGGTGCTGACTTTGCAGACAGGACTAAGCTCTATATGTTATCTTTTCCCTATATATGAGTACCTATGATCAAGTTTAATTTATAAACTAGGCACAGAAAGAAAAGTAATAACTAGAACAATTGTATGGAGGAATAAATAGAACGATTATGTGAGTGTGATCTCTATATGTGTGATATATAAAAAATATATATGTATACATATCATATATCTTTTGGTACTATGCTCTGCCTTCTTTTCTAATGATGATGTGAGATGATACAGTGCCTGGATGATGAGACAAAGTAAGCAGAATGACATGAATGACGCAGAGGTTGTAATAGAATGTTAAGCTACTGGATGAGGAATCCTTGAACACAGGCCTTTGACAGTCAGTCTGGTCACAGAGAGAGCTACTAAGTGATTCATATACAGTGTGGATTCGCTGGACGAAGTGTTAATCACATTCTGGGCAGGATGGATGGGAATTGTGCAAGATTTCGTTACCATACTCAGAATGGTGGGCTCTTTAACACCATGAGTTGTTTACTTCCAGAATTTTCCATTCTATAATTTCAGACCATAGCTGGCTGTGGGTAAGTGAAACTGTAGAAAAGCAAAACTTTGGATAGGAAGGCAGGGGAGACTACTGTGTACTTGTATAAATATGCATTTCTTCTCACAAATGGGGTCACTCTGCTGTTTTTTCACGTAGCTACATGTAATGGAGATTTTCCCATTTGTCAGCCTCCGTCAACTTCCGGGTCATGTCGTCTTCTCTGGGGAAGACCGTGGTTCCCTGCTACTTCCCATTTAATGTTCTTTCTCCTTCCCAGCCGTGTGAGCTCACTCACCTGCAGCCGCCTTCCTTGTTCTCCAGGTCTGTGGACCTCCCCAAAGCAGTGTACACTTTTCCAAAGGGTTAAAAACAAAGTGAATTAAAATAGGAGAGGGGAAAAAAGCAAAAAATAAAACCTAAAAATAAGTTGTCCGTTTGAGTCCAAGTGGGGAAGGGAAAAAAGGATCTCATTTACATTGGCAAATCTCAGCCCCTCTCCCTCCTACCCAATTCCAGGCTGGAAAAGAAGATTTTCCCTGGTTTCCCTCTGCCGCGTCCACACCATTACTCACGCAAACTGGTAACCTTGAGGCAAAATTCAACCTTGCGAGGTAGTTTGCCCAACAAGGTGAATTAGTTGTCATCACTTGAAAACCAGGACACTTTGTGTAGGTTTCTGGATTCTCTTGAATGAGGAAAAGCTCTCATGACACTGAGCCTACATTTCTGTAGGGCAATGGTTTTGAAGCTGAGTAAATCTTGCTTCACATAGGTGGAACATGTGTCTGCCAGGTGAACTTGGGCTTCACTGGTTTCTAGCATATGGTACCGGGGCATGGTTTGTTTATTTACCTGCCTGGCTCCTGTAGGAATTTTAGTCCAAGTAAGGAAAACGATGTTTCTGCTCTCAACTCCCCACATTCACGGGGAAACTGCTCTCCAGTCCTCCTTTCTACCAGATGGCTGATACCTTCTGGGTGACCTCATTGGCATGAGGCTTGTCCACACCCC